AGCCCTTACCTGTTTCAGGGGACCCTCTTCCCAGGAAATCTGGAAAGGCCGTGGGTGCCTGGAGTTTGCCCAGCTCCCCACTGAAGTCATCCCTCTCAGGGCTGGGAGGAACTGGCTCCCTTGAATGCAGGTCAAAAAGAAAGGGGCGTCCATGCTCATTGCTAACTTCTGAGCCCATGTAGAGAAAAATGGGCCAAGTTCACGGGTTGAAAATAAGACTAGCACTTCAGAACTGCTGCTGGTGCAAATGCAGAGCTACATGGCCTGAAAATGAGACTGTATTGATGTGGCCTGGGTATGGGACGGTGGGCAGTCATAGGTTACAGGAATGAGGTCTGGCTTTGGAGATGGGGGAATATAGCCATCTCCGAGCAAGGGAAGATGGTTTGAGAGAGAATCTCAGAGTTCTGCCCTCAGGGTTGTCCCCTCTAGAAGTTCTTGGAATTGGCCTATGGTGTGGAAGAGAGGTTCAATTTCTTCTCTCAGGATTCCTGAGAAGTCCCAGACAGGCTTCCTCAGGCTTCAGGACTGGTCTGACTCATTAGCAGGAACCTAGTTCCTAGAAGTGGGACACTCCTGACAGCCGGGCAGGCAGCTGGCATCTGAGGCCAGCTGGCTACATTTGGGCATCTTTTATAAACCCTCCACCCCTCTCACTCAGGAATGGCAGTGGGGATAATTACAGGGAAAAGTACCCTGGCATTAAGTGGGGGCTGGTGGGGTCAGGCTATGTGATAGCGGTGGCAGAGCCATCAGGGGACTGCATGAGCCCAGCTTGCAGAGTGGAGGTGGGGCCTGGAGACAAAGAAGAGAGAAAATGCCCCGAATTCTTTTGAGGACTTAGTGGGCCCATCCATCAGGAACAACCAGTCTCAGACTTGTTGCTAGAGGTTGGGCCTTTGGGTGTGTGGTGCTTTCTCCTAGGGCTGGCTTCAGCTCCTGAGCACTTCTTCTCAGTGCCCAGGGGTGGAAATGAGCTCCGTGCACCCCTCCAAGCCACCAAACCAGCTCAGGGTGTCTGGGAAGCTGCAAAGGGTGGTAGTGCTGGAGGAAACTGGAGATAAGTAGGAAGTGCTGTTGGTGCATTGTCTTTGTTGATGTAAAGACGTTAGAGGCTTGCAAAAAAATGTGCCAGGCTACTGACTTTGTTGTATGGGTACCTGATAGACTTCCCAGCTCCCTTTCTTCTGTTCTTTGGGTCTTCTGGTCCTTGCAACGTCAGACTGGTATAACCTGGAAAACCCAGTGGTTGAGCTCCACCTTGGAGCATGAATCAGGTCTGCAGGCAGCTGGCTCCCGGGCACGTGTCACCTGGCTCCTGGCTGGGCTCCATGCTCTACCTGCTCACATGTGCGGTTGCCTGCATCATGCTCCACCGTGGCTTGGAGGCGGTCTCAGAACCTTTGCAACTGCTACAGAAACAGCTCCAGTTGGGGATGACTCAGCCCTGGTGGCCGAGCCGGGCTGCCCCTGACTCGGTGGAGTGCTGGGATGTCCTCCCGCACCCCTGAAAGTCTCAGCATCCCCATCTGTGACTCAAGTCACAGCTGGGCATTAATTGGTTTCAGTAAAAACATTTTGATTAGGCTTGGATGAAAAGGGCTCAGAGAGTTCAAAGCCAGTCAGGGCTTTTGGGGTGAGGGAGGGTGGCAGCTGTTTAGGTGACAGTGGAGGGGAGACGCTGGAGTCTCAGACAAGACGTCTGGGCATGGAGGCCGTGGAGTTCCTCCCTCTCATCAGTCCTGACTGTTCCTTCTGCAGAGTGGGAGCCTGGGCAGATCTGTGGGGAGGGGTAGTGCCCTCCAGACCAGAGGTCTCTTCCCCATTCCAGGGGGCTGCCAAGGTGACCTGCCCCCCTTCCCTCTCCATATTCTTTTCTTTTCTTTTCTTTTTTTAAAGATCGGCACCTGAGCTAACAACCGTTGCCAATCTTCTTCTTCTTTTTTTTTTCTGCTTTATCTCCCCAACCCCCCCCCCCCCCACCCCGTACATAGTTGTACATCTTAGTTGCAGGTCCTTCTAGTTGTGGGATGTGGGATGCCACCTCAACATGGCCTAACGAGTGGTGCCATGTCCATGCCCAGGATCAGAACTCTGGGCCACCGGAGTGGAGCATGCAAACTTAACCACTCAGCCACGGAGCCGGCCCCTGTCCTCCATATTCTGAGAGCTATCCTGGCAAATCATGCCAAGGTTACCTGGAAGAAGCTCATTTCCAAGATCATGGAAATCTAGAGTCCCAGAAAAGGCTAAGTTATTCTTGATTTGACTGGCTTTAAATAGCTTAGGCCTTCCATCTGTTTTAGCTTCCATAGCTCACACCCTCCCAGCTGGGATATTCTCCTTACAGTGTAAGCTCTGCATTTCTTCCTGCATTCTCCTTGTCTTCTTGGGAAATGAGCAGCCATCACCTCAATGCCCTTTCATGACTTTGAGGCAGGGACAGGAATGGGATTGAGATTTTGGGTGGCTTTCTCAGGAGAGTTCTAGAAAGAGGAGTCAAGGGGGTGGGTGGGAGTGAGGAGCAGGAGAAACTGCCCAGAGCTAATGAGCTTTTCTGCATGGCCCCTGGGGAAAGACTGTCCCCAGGCTAGTGGGGGTGAGCACCAAATCATAGAATCTCAAGGCTAGAAGTGATCTCAAAGACCCTCTAGTGTTTGAATCTCCTTTGTAAACTCTAATCAAATGGTTGGACAGTCTGAGCTTGCATGCCCTGAGAGACAGGGTGCTCATTACCTCGTAAGGCAATCCAAACCATCTCAGATCAGCCCTGATGCTCAGAAAGTTTTTCTGAATACTGGGTCACTATATGTCTTCCTTTGCATCACTGTGGGGTACTAGTTCTGCTCTTTGCAACAACACAAAACAAGTCCAGGCTCTTTTTATGGGGCACCCCCTCAGATATCTTCTACTCCAGCTGCTTTGCTGCCTGGCCCCATGTGGGGAAGTGTCCAAAATTCTGGAAACACAAGGCTCTTCTGAGCACTTCAGGGTGGGGAGGGTTGGTGAGTTGTTGGAAGAAAGAAGGAGGGGAAAGTGGGGAGCCTTCTACTTTATCCATTGCGCTGGGCTTGTTGCTTTTCTGCCAGTTAACCCTTTCAAGTCCCAGCCAGCCCTGGCTGAGCTGTGTTGCCTCTGAACCCCACCTACTCCGGCACCACCTTCCCTTCTGCCAGTGTCCAGGCAACAGGAAACAAACAGGGAGATCAGAGGGAGGGCTGGTCAGGATGGCTTAGTGGGGAAGCTCTGAAGCAGACACTTGGATTAACTCTGACACCTGCCAGCTCCCACGCACCTTCCCTGGCGACTCCGGGAAGGAAGACAAGCCTGGGGCTGCCCTGGGGCCCGAGCCGGACCACAGTGATCCTCTGCACGTATGTGTCGGGGGAGTCCCGATGGCAAAATCAAAGGCAGATTTTATTTCTACAAATTCAAAAGTCAAAGGCCCATTGGACGCATGGATTAATTCATCACAAGGTCTTTCTCTCCACTCTAACATACACACGGTTCAGGATGATCAATCTTAGTTGCCTAGTCCGTCCCGAGGGCCTCGCTCTGGTTCCAGTGGGTGCTCTGGTGGATTAAGTAGAAGGTCCCCACAGGTTCAGTTTTCAAGGCTCTTCCCTCCTCAGTCCAAAAATAACCATCAGCTGTCTTTCCTGACTCCACTCTCTTCTCTGCTGTGTCTGGCTGGGCCCTGGTTTATCTTCTGAGAACTGAAATACTCTCTGGTCACCTGGCTCCACTCCCAGTCCTCCCCGGCACGTCATTAGTTACCCTTCAGATCTCTCTTTCAGTGTCATTCCCACCAGGTTAGGGGGCCTTGCAGCATATCACCGTAGCTTATCACGCGTAATAAGGGGTTGGCGCCCCTTCCCTTGTCTGTCTCCCCCACCAGCCTCCTCTAGAAGGAAAGACACTGAGTTCCATTAATCTCTGCTTCCCCAGGGCCCAGCACAAGGCCCAGCCCTGCATGAATGGATGAAGTTTCTGCAGGATATGGCTAATTTCCGTAAGGTGAAAACATCTTTTATCTTCAGTGTCTTTTAATTCTTCTTCAGGTTTGTCATCAGGAATTCACATACTCTGTACAAGCGAATTCTTCTTTCCTCCACTGTTCTCTGGATAACAGCTCAATTCCTAACATTTAATCAACCACCCTTTGCCCTGGTGTTTTGCGGATAGACTGGTGGGTTAGGCCACTCCTTTCAGTGATGGGGACCATTTCAGTGCAGTTTGCTTTTATGAGTCCAGGTCAGCTGCAGGGTATCACTTGATGGGAGAGTTCTGGGCATATCCAGGCTCCTTCCTGGGCTCCCCCCTTCTTCTGAGGTGGACCAGCAGGAATCACCAAGGCTTGGGAAGCCTGAGCAGGGGCTCAGGGAGTCCCTGGGTGGCATGTGTCCGAAACTCTTGCCCGTCAGCCCTGATCTGGGCTTCAATCCCTAACCCCGACCCAGATCTTGAAACTGAACCCCACACACAGATCTTGTCCCTCTCTCTGTAACGAACCCTAACCCTTCCTTGTCTGGCCTCGACAGTCTCCCATCATACCACCTGTACCACCTCTAAGTTGCCCACTCTTCTCATCCAACCATGCCCTTACCTGGCAATCCTCCAGCCCCAAGCCTTCACTGAGAGCTGGGCGGAAAGGCAGCAGCTGCCCTGGCTCCCTGGCTTCTCCGTGACTGTGTGCCTCTGTCTGCCCTCTCTGAGATGCAGTATTGTGTTGACTATACTACGGCTATTCAGGACTCCTGCTCCCAGACCATTTTCTCAGAGGTTTTCTCTGCACTGCCACTCCCAGGGCTGGCTGTACACTCCTTGGTGTTGCAGGGGTGAGCCTAGGTCTACATGGGGTCTTGGGAGTGGGGCTAAGCAGCCTGCCGACTGTGTGTTGGGGGAGTTTAAAAGGGTCAAGTTGTAGACCTTGGGCCCTGAAGAAGAGATGGGGGCTTGAGCCCGAGCCTCGGGAGCCTGGGGGGGAGGGGATGGGGGTAGGCCAGGCAGGTGAGGGCAGGGCACAGGGCTTGTGTAGAGTTGCTGAGAAGGGCACTCTGGAGGAAGAGTAGATGGGTCAAGGCCTCTGTCTGTTCTTCCTCAAGACGTTCTGGGGTTGGACTGCACCTCATCTCTGAAGCAGTCTGGGCTTCTCCAGGTCCTGGTCCCCTCTCTCCCCACCTCCTCTATCTCTGTTCACTCCTTTCTAAGCCTCTGTCTTTGATTTTGTTTCTGTCTTAGAAGAGAAGCAAATACCACTCAAATTGGGGCATGTGCACAAAAGAGCGGCCATTCTCCCCCCCCAGAGCCATGGATTTCTCAGGGAAAGCAAGGGGCCCTTTCAGAAATTTGTGTGCTGGGTCCAGACCACAGCCTGGGCCCTCTGCCTCTTCTCTCTCCCTGAACCTCTGGATGGGCCGTCTGGATGCCACATGTGTTTCTCTGCCCCTTTACTAATCACTGTCTCTCCCTGGGGGCACAAAGGGAACCCTGACAGTTTCCTGGATTTGTCCAGACCTTTATGGGATCTTAAAAGGAAGTGGGTGTGGAAATGGGATGTTTGGGGTGGAGCCTGGGTGGAGAAAAAGGAGAGGGAGGAGTTGGGGTGGGGGCTCCCAGGAGTGGGCCCTCTTTCTCTGCTGAGGAGGAAGCCCACAGAGAAACATGGGCTGTGGGCTGATCCAGAGGGAGGGGGCGGTGGGCTGGACCTGTGCTATGAAAACTAAGCTGATATCCCAGCGCCCTTACCCCACTACTGTCCCCCTACCCCAAAACCCTGCAGGGCTCAGGGCACAGGTAGGAAGGTGACAGCTTCGTTTATGGGCCCCAAACTGCAAGGAGGTGGCAATTAGCCCTCAGTGGGTCAAAGGAGAGCAACAATGTGCCCTGCCTTTTGAGGCTTTGAGGGGCCCCGGTGTGGAGCCCTCAAAAGTGGCTTGGCTATTCTAGGAGCATCTAGGCCCTCAGTCTTTCCCAACTCCCATCTCCTAGACTCCAAAACCAGGACCCGCCCCTGGCCCAGTAAAACTGCCTCGGATGGACCCCATCTTCTACTGCAATTTAGTGTCAGCCCCACTCATTGCTAATAGCTTCCTGCATCCCCTCTCCAAATGCCTTTCTGGGGGCTTGACCAGGTGGTGAGCTTAGGTTGTGGAGCAGGATTTCAGAGGTTACATTTGTCACAGGATTAAGTTGTTCCATATCCCTCAGATGGGCTCGTGCATATTTGGAACTCTCCCCCAAATCTTGGGACCCCAATCTACATGTGCCATTGGTATTCTCCCAGAGTGAAGGGATGCAATTCTAGCCAAACTTCGATTTAGTGCATGCAGGCTGAAGTCTTTCTACATCATAAATAAAACCTCATTTTTGATCCCCATGAATCCCCCTGCCTATACAGCTTTACCCACGTTCTAACCCTAACCCAAGCCTATTCTAACTCGAGTCCCAAACTCAATTCTAACCCAGCTGTAACCCGAATCCTAAATAAATCTCAACCCAGCCTTCAGTTTAGCTCTAACTGCATTCCCAAGCACAGCTATATGAAACTAAAACCCTGTTTACCATAACCCGAATCCCAGTCATGAACCCTAGCCTCAGTTCTAGCTGTCATTCTAACCCTAATCTCAACCTTCATTCCCATCCCAACCTCAAATCTGACCTCAACCTCATTCATAATTCCAATTGACCAACCCCAATCTTAACCCCAACTCCAGCCTTCTCCCCAACTCCAACATTTGCCCAAATCCAGATTCAATTTAACTCGAACCCCACCTTCAGTTTAATGGACCCTCAACCTCACTACTTTCTTTGCAGTCTCCCTCTTCCCGGTCCCATCCGTTCTCCCCTCCACCCATCCCTGACCTTCCCCACGGGTGGGTCTAGTAACCCACAGGGTCACCAAGCTATTTTCTTGGACCACTCTGGATTGAAAGTCAGAATGCCTGGGTGTCTCCCTCTTAGTCAAGCCACAGTAGCATCACCTGGGCTGACTCCTCCTGTTTCTCCAGGCCATTGTTTCCCCCCTATAAAGTGGGGATAATGATCCCTGCTCTCCAGAGTGTGCAGGACAATCCTGTAAACCCCCAAAATAAACAAGGAAATGAAAATATTCATTGTGTACATCTGGTGGGTGCCAGAGCACCCTGTTATTGTTGGGAGAGCAGGGCGAGGGGTTTGGAATGCAGAGATGCGTGGACTCCTTGTCCTTCCTTATTGTTCTGTCTTATTTTTCCTGGAGGGGTGGGCTCAGCATCCCTGAGCCCCATAACTCTCCCCAAGACTCTTTCCTCACTGCTCTTCCTGTGCCCCCTGTCAGGGATGGGGGAAGGCCCTTGACTCCTCTGAGGGAGTTGAGCTGTTGAATGGGGCCATTCACTGTGTGTGGGGGCAGTCCTGGAGTCCAGGGAGGCTCAAGGCCTGTTCTGGGAACCCCTGGACCCACTAGCAAGCGCAGGCCCTCCACTTTCTCTCTCTGCCCACCAGGACCCTCCCCACCCCAGCTCCAACCTTCCCAGAACTGTACTGGCTTAGCCACTTGACGAGCAGTCCCGGTTATGAGGGTCCTTGGTCTCCTTTTTTGTGCATAGAAGCACAGACACCAAATGATCCCTACAACAAGTCCACACAGAGGGGCTCAGCCCTTCTCGACATGATGCACGGGCATGTCCCAGTGAGTGGGTGCACACGTACACAGGCACAACCCTTCCAGGCCCTCCTGGTGCTATTCCCTCCAGCATCCCCTGACCCACCCCATCCACTCACCTCGCTCTGTCCACACTCCCTGATACCTCTCCTTCAGGCCTCACTGAACTGGTTTTAGTTCTGTGTGGGAGGTGAGGGGCTGGATCCCTCATAATGCCACCAGCTTCCAGGGATTCCCCTATGCTCAGGGATGACCTTGCATCAGGGATGGATTGGGGCACAACTCCAGAGGGGGCGGCCAGGGGAAGACCATGTTCCCTCACACACCCCTTCCCTCCCTCTTTCAGCTCAGGAGGGCTGACTCCCTTTGAAGTCCTGGGTCCCTTTCATCTGGCTGGGCCTCCCCTCCAGCCCCAGTGCCCCCTTCCCTGCTGCCTCAACCTGGGGTCGGGGGGTGGGGACCCTGGAGAGTCGTGGATATATATGTGAAGGCGTGGGGATGTGGAATGCTGGAGGCTGCACTGGGAGGGTGTGTTGGACACCTGTGCCCTGGGGTGAGTGTTGACCCTTCAAGGCCTGGCCAGCCTTCCATCCCAAGCCTGGCTTCTCCTTCCTCTTCTCCATTTCCCCTGGGGAAGGAGGCAACAAATGAGTGGTGAGGGGAACTCTGTGGACGCTGTGAAATGGGGCGACTGTTGTCACCTCGAGGATGTGGCCAGGAGGAAGTGGAAATTTAACAGATGCCTAATTACAAGTCCCACTGGCCTCCCTGAGCCACTCTCGGGATAGGGAAGAGCTTGGGTAAGGGCTGGGTAATGCCTGGGTAGGCCACTCTGTCACCCCGCTAATTAGGTTTCCTGGGACTCCTCCCCAAGGCGGGGACCAGGCCCCCTCCCTCCCATAGAAATAACTCTGGCTGCTCCCCAGCTGGGCACTCATTGCACCTTCCTGCCACCCTGGGCAGTGTCTGGGTCCTCAGCTCCCCCTCCCTCCACACACCACCACTGGCCCACCGCCAGCGGCCCCCGGGATACCCAGCCCAGGCGGAGGAAACACCGAGCCTAGAGACATGGGAGTTCGAGGAGCATTCCACCTTCTACTCGTGTGCCTGAGCCCAGGTATGGGGCTGGGCAGCTGGCAGGGATGCCCACATGACACCAGATGGGCAGGGAAAAGGGCAGTGAGGGGCTCATAGAGGAGCCTTGAGGGTGGTCTGAGATACCCTGGCAGGGTGCTTCCACCCTTGCCCTACTGCCACCTGGGTCTGGATATTGCCATGGAGCCCTCCCCCGAGGAAAGCCCCAGCCTAAAGGTGTGGGGCATATGTCAATGGGACAGAGGTCTTTGATGGATCCTCATCACCCAGAGCCTGTGGGGCTCACACATGCACGGACATGCTGCGAATGGGAGCACAGGGCTTGCGTGAGCTCCTCTGGGAACCGGGGGTGGGGTAAGAGGGTCAGGTGAGCAGCAAAGCTGGGTGGGGGCTGAGGAGGAGCCTGAGAAAGCTCCCTTTTCATCAGTCTGTGTGCTATTCCCAGCGGGAGGGCCCTCGCCCCACTCTCAGGCCAGAGCTAAGGGTAGGGAGCTGTTTGCCTTGAGGGGGCAGAGACTGGGGCTGGTGTAGTCTGAATGGGCTGCTTCCAGACGGCCAGTGAGAGCCCAGGCCTGAGAACTCTGCTCCAGGCCCCTGGGCTGTGAGAACTCCAGGGTAGTGCCCCCTCCAGGATGAGGCCTGAGGAGGGTGGGGACGGCAACTCCGGGAGCCCCTCACCCCACTGGGGCACACTTTGAGGGCAGGGCTCAGGATGGGATATTATGGCTGCCTGCCCAGGTTGGGGCAATTCTCGGCCAGGGCCATTCTATGTGGGCATCGCTGGAAATGGCTCTGAGACCCTCCTGGGGTTTAGATTCAGGATGAGGGGTCGGGGAGGAGCTTGAGAAGGAGGGAGCATTTTCAGGCTTTGTATGAGTGTGTGTGCGTGTGTGAATGATTGCATTTCCGGAAGGATGTCTGCAACACCCTCTCTGTCTGGTGAGAGCTGGGCTGGCCAGAGCCCACTCGGGAAGTGCCAGCCATGCTATGGGGACCTGGGACATCTCCATGTGTGTGGCGTGTGTCGTGGGCTTTGTGCATTTATGCACCAATACCCTCTCACGGGGCCACCTTTTCTCCCCTCCCTCACCTTCGGGAGGAGGGTTAGGAACTCTGCAAGCAGCTCGAATACTCACAAAGGATTTCCAAGCTGAGAGTAGACACTACTACTGAAGCGACACCTCCCTGGAGGGTGCAGCCCTGTACTTTTGTGGAAGGACAATTAGTCACCACCATCCTCCTTCCTGGAGAGCCCATTGCGATTTCCCTCCCTCTCTCCAAGTCTCCGCATTTAGCTCTCTCTCCCACTCAGGCTTTCTTCCTTCTTTCCAGCCTCTCTCTTCTCTCACCTTCCCTGGAAGTACTTCCTCAGTGCCACAGCAAGAGGAATCAAGGTGAGACACCAGGAACAGCCTCCCCAGGAGAGTGAGGGGTGCAGAAAGGCTGGAACCCTTGGGAGGACATTGAGAAAGCTTTTAGGGAGATTGAAAGGCTAGGGTGAGGCTCCCTGGCTGGGGACAAGGGAAGACACTCCGCCTAGTGCAGGGTGGAGGCCCTCTCCTTCCAGCCCGTCCCTCCTTCCCAAGCCCCCTTCCTTGAATACTTACCCCGCTGCGTGGCTGGCCCCGGGTATGGGGAAAGTCCTCTTGTTGTGGGTTGCTTCTGGCAGCCCTTCCCCAGGGTGGAGCCTCTGCTCTTTGCTGAGTTCTGGCTCATGCCTGGCTTGCCTTGTGCCGCCCTAGGATCCGGCAGATGGCATCAGGATCCTTATCTCAGGAATGAGCTGCTGTTCTCTTGGCCTGGGGCTGGAGGAGGCATCACCAGGTCCCGTTAGAGCCCCAGCAGCCAACCTGCCTGCTCTGGGTTACCCTGGACTCTAGCAGGCATTTGGTCATGGCTGCCGGCCCAGCCACGGTTCCGAGGAGCAATTCAGTGATGCCTGAGGTTTTGGGGGTGTTGAAAGGGCACCTGCTGGCTCTCTAGAACCAGACTAAGCTTCTACAGGTGTGTCTGGTCTTGAAGGAATGCACACGGGGGACTCCGTGTGTGCGTAGTCAGCGTGTCTTCCGGATTAACGTTAATATGTTTGGGTGCAGATGTGAGTCTGTATGGATCTGACAGTGTCTGTGTGTATAGGAAGGTGGGACTGCATAGGTATGCATCTGCACTTGGAAGGCTTGTAACAGTGTGTCTAGGTGTCGATTTCTTCGGCTGTGACAGTGTGTAATTGTGTGTGTGAGAGGTTCTCTAAGTGTGAAGGTGGTCCCAGGAGAGAGCCAGAGAAGGGCAGAGCAGAGGTCAGGGGCTGGGACTCCAAGGGACTTGCTTGCTGACTCAACAAAGAATTCAGGAGAGTGTGCCAGGCTGGGTGAGGGGCCTGAGGAGAGAGGGTTACAGGAGACTGGGAGATGGAGTGCTGCCTGCCCTACCTGCCAAGGTTGGGGCCCTGGGCACACCCCCCTTCATATTCCTCTCTAGGTCCAACCGGTTGGGGCTATTGCTTGCCTGGGGTCAGGGTAGGGAGGGAGAGGAGCTCAGCCCTGAGTTGCCAGATCCTGGCTCCTCACCCAGGGCTGACTCAGTGGAGCTAGTGCTGGCAGTAGTGGGAGGGGCCCCAACTGGAGCGAGAAGGTGGGGGCAGCTGTACCCGAGCTGCACAATCACACAAGGGGAAGGACACAAAGTCCACAAGGTCACATGTCGGCATGCAAGGCTCATACTGCCCTACAGATGCATGTGGCCATAGTCCGAGGCACACACCATCATTCACTATCACACAAGAACACAGCCAGTCTCCTGGTCACAGCTGCCCACTGTCACACACAGGCACACTATCACTTAGAGCACTTACATAGCCAGGCATACAGGCATATAGTCACAGATACACATTGTCATACACAGAGACAGACACAGACACTGTCTTCTGCTCCTTGGTCTGGAAGGGGACCCCAGAGGCCATGGTGTCCATTCTTCTGCCTCCAGACAGGAGCACCTCACTTGGCCCAGACAGAGGCAGCTTTTAAGGAGTCAGGCTCTTCCATCAGAGCATTTAAAAACTCAGTGTGGTCTATGTGCCTACACACACACACACACACACATGTACCATCATGTAAATATATAAGCAGACACCCTGCCTGGTCACGTGCACGAGTATCCTTACAGGACACATAAGCAGCCACAAATACTCATAAGCACGCAATGTACATATGTGTACGTACTCATACATGCACACACAATCATGCAGACATACAAGCATACAGAATAGCTATGTATATATGCAAACAGTATTCAGATGCATTCCTACACAAAACCAGAATATAGACATACTTACACAAGCGTGCATAGACATGCATATACCAATTCATACACCCACATACTCAGAGCAGCTCCTCCTCCCTACGGAACCCTTACTGAGACCTGGGTTGCCACCTACAGAAAATGGTGGAGGGAGGGGCTGAAGCTGACCACACAAGCTATTTTTGCTCCCCTCACCCCACGTGCTCTGCCTGGCCTGTAGCACTGCTGTCTGCTGTGCGGATCAACGGGGATGGCCAGGAGATCCTGTACCTGGCGGAAGGTGATAATGTGAGACTGGGCTGCCCCTACATCCTGGACCCTGAGGACTATGGTCCCAATGGGCTGGACATTGAGTGGATGCAGGTCAACTCAGACCCTTCACATCGGGAGAATGTGGTGAGTGCTGTGCACAGGGTTCCCCTTACCCTACACTTCATGGTGTCTTCCTGTCAGCAGCCCACACCCTGAGGGAAAAAGGAGGGCAGACAAGGAAACTAAGACCTCGAACCTCCCCCAAGGTCTCTCAGGAAATGGGGCAACAGGGATCAGAGCTTTGCAATCACAAATCAAGCCAGCCAGTTCATCCACCTCCTCCCAGCTCACTCCAAAGGGAAGATGAGGCATGGTCTCTGCCTTTGAGAAGTTCTCAGCCTGACTTTATACTTTCCAAAGTGCTTGATGTCATCTGATCTCACACGATATATAAGAGGTCAGTGGATCAGGCATCATATTCCCATTTTTCAGCCAAGAAAACTGAGTCTGAGAAGTTCAGTGAATTACCCAAGGCAGCGAATCTACATGGCCCTCCTCGGCTCTGCCTGTCTCACCACCTCTGTTTTCTTCTCTTCTTCAGTTCCTTAGCTACCAGGACAAGAGGATCAACCATGGCAACCTCCCCCATCTGCAGCAGAGGGTCCGCTTTGCAGCCTCAGACCCCAGCCAGTATGATGCCTCCATCAACCTCATGAACCTGCAGGTATCTGACACAGCCACCTATGAGTGCCGGGTGAAGAAGACCACCATGGCCACTCGGAAGGTCATCGTCACCGTCCAAGGTATGGCTAGACTCCTCTGGGAGCTTCTTCCCCAGACTTCAGAGCCAAGGGAGGCTTGGCCACCCTGAGCCTGGCTCTGCCTCTTGGCTGGGCCCTGGCTCAGAACTGCTTGCTTTTCTGCAGCACGGCCTGCGGTGCCCGTGTGCTGGACTGAGGGCCACCTGACACACGGCAACGACGTGGTGCTGAAATGCTTTGCCAATGGGGGCACTCCACCTCTCTCCTACAAGTGGGCCAAGATCAGTGGGCACAGCCGCCCCTACCGTGCTGGGTCCTACCATTCACAGCAGAGCTTCCACTCTGAGCTCTCTTACCAGGAGTCCTTCCACAGCAACCTGAATCAAGGTGAGGGGGCCCCAGGAGAGGGGAGCGCGAGAAGCAGAAGGTAAGGACTCTGGGAACTGCTGGGCCTTCCCTGGTCATCAGTGGTACAAAGTCAAACTTAGAAGCCCTGTAGGAGACTAGTCCTCTGAGCCTGTTTCAGAAGCTGCTATTGAGGGAAGAAGAGGAGGCAAAAGGGGGGAGTCAGTCAAAAGCAGTATGGTTAATTTGGAAGGAGCATGGCCTAAGACAGACAGAGCTGGGCTTGAATGCTGGCTGGACCACTGACTGGCTGTGAGACTTGGGCAAGTGGCTTAACTTCTCTGTGCCTTGGTTTCATCATATACGAAAAGGGAATAATAATGTTTGCCTTCCAGGGGCACGTGAGGATTAAATGGGATGAGGCGGGTAAAGTGGCTGGCACCCAGGGAAGCTGGCTAGTACTCACAGTCGAAGAATATCAGAGCTGGAAGGCACCTTAGAATTCCTCTGGTTGACCCTGTCCTCTCTGTACAAATGAGGAGACCAAGGCTCAGAGAGGGGACATATTTCCCTAAGATACCTAATGGTGTCTCTGTCCTATTGCTGGTAGAGGGGCCCTTCTTTGCCTCTCTGTTCCAGGAGGGGCAAGGTGACTCACCTGGAGAGTGGAGTGGATCCGTGTGTGTATACACCTTCCCTCGTTCCACCCACAGCCCACAGGGGCCTGGGTTAGGGTGGAGCTCTCAGAGACCAGGCCCCTCAGCCTCACTAGAGACCCCTGGTTCTCCTTCAGTTGCAGGCCTGAGCAATGGTGACCTGGTGTTGAACGACATCTCCTACAAGGATGACGGGCTGTACCAGTGCACAGTGGCCAACCATGTGGGCTACAGTGTGTGTGTGGTGGAGGTGAAGGTCTCAGGTATGTGCAGCCGCCCTGGAGGTCCCATGGCTGGGAAGGTTGGATGGGAGGAACTTGGGCTGTATTTTGGAGCCTCATCTGGCTCTGCCCTCCCATTGCCCTCAGGGCATAGGTCTCCACCTAGGTTAGCTGGGAAGCCCTGGGAAAGACATGCAAACGTAAGGGGTTCACTTGCATTTCCCCATATACTCCTCACTGGGTGTCCCTGAGACCCCCCTGAATCCCTCTCCCTCTTCCCCACAGGCCCCTGCCCTGGCACCTCCTGGTTAGCCAGGCACCTGCCACACTGCAGAAAGGCTGACTCCTCTTTACTTCTCTCCACAGACACCGGGCGCATAGGCATCATCATCGGCGCAGTGCTGGGCTCTTTGCTCATACTGGCCTGCCTGTCGGTGGGCATCTGGGGGCTCATCTGCTGCTGCTGCGGCGGCGCCGGGGTTGGCGGCGCCCGCGATGCCTTCGGCTACCGCAACGGCGGCGGCGGCGGCGGGGTCGGCGGAGGGGCCTGCGGCGACTTGGCTAGTGAGATCAGGTAAAACCTGATGCATGCTGCATGCTGCTGTGCGGCAGGGGACCGGCGCCCTGCCCCTCCTCACCCTTGCCTACCACCGGCCGGCTGGGACACCCACCCCAACCCTGCCCGCCACCGCCGGCGAGTGCTGGGACCGCAGCATGTCGACCTGCCAATCATCGCATGGCTTTCCTCTCTCCCCCTTCCCACGTCCAGTCTTCACTTCTGCTCCCCTGTCCGCCACTTCCCTCCTGTCCGTGCACCTGTCTGTCCGTCTCGTCTAGACTGTAAGCTCCTAGAGGGCAGGGCATGTATGCTTTTCACGTTTCCCCTGTATTGCGCCGGTGAGAACTCTGGACGTGCTTATTTAAGAAGAGTTAATAATAAGAATAGTGCTAATAACATATCAGAAACGAACTAGAAATAAAAATAGAACAAGACTAGTCGTGCTAATGATTGCAGTGCCCTAGGGATAGAGGAAAAGATGGAATAGATTGAGGGGCAGGAGGTGAGGAGAAGAGGGAGAGAGAGGTCAAGGTCAAGGTTAGTTAAGGAAAGGACAGGGAAAACAGCTCCTGGATCTCCAAGGTTCCCTCCCTGTTAAAGCCGGTGGTTCTGCGAAAACATCTGAAGGGGACTCGAGGGCGTCCAGATGGGGCTGCCTACTGTGGGCTGTCCGGACACATGAGGACAAGCCTTGTCTAGAGGATGGGGATGGTGGCCCCAGGGACCACTGCGGGGTCGCCGGCCTAGGAAGAGGCAGAGAGGAGGGTAGGTCGAGGCTGAGGGAGGGCGGGAGGCGCGGGAGACGAGAGGTTGCCAAGAGCCCCCGGCTCTGCCCAGGCCGTGCCCATGCCCCGCCGCGGAGGAGCCCGCTCACCCGCCCGCCTGTTGTTTTCCACAGAGAGGACGCCGTGGCGCCGGGGTACAAAGCCAGCTGGCGCGGCAGCCGCGTCACCCAGCTCCTGGGGTACCCGACGCAGAACGTCAGCCGCTCCCTGCGCCGCAAGTACGCGCCTCCGCCCTGCGGCGGCCCCGAGGACGTGGCCCTGGCGCCCCTCCCCGCCGCCGCCGCCGCCGCCTGCGAAGCGGGCCCCTCCCCAGTCTACGTCAAGGTCAAGAGCGCCGAGCCCGCCGACTGCGCCCAGGCGCCGCTGCCGGGCAAGGACGGCCTCTTTGTGTGAGCGCGCCGCGCGCCGGGCTGCGCCCCGGCCGGGAGGAGGGCGCGGGGCTCTCTGCCTGCACCTGGGGACGCTCTCGCGCCGGCGCTGACCTCGTCTGCCCCGGGCCGCTCGACGGCTGGGGGACTGAAGGCATTTCCCTCGGGAAATGAGTAGGGAGGCGGAGCCCCCTTCCCCCAAGTGGGAGAGGGCGGGGGAAAGCAGAGAAAGGCCATCGAGAGCCCTCTCCGCACGCCCTGGGAGCTGGAGGGAGGAGGAGGTGTGCGAGCGCTTGAGGCTGGAGGCCCGGTGTCCCCAGCCAAGGCAGAGGGCCCCGGGGGCCAGGTGGGTGGGGGTCTGGACTGAATTGTTCTGTGTGTGAGAGCTGAGCTCCGAGGCAGCAGTGTTAGCACAATAAAAAAACTGTAAGACTTGAGACTGATGTGACTGTTGGTTCCACGGAGGGTTGGGCATAGGGTCAGGGTGGAGGGCCCTGCTCAGGGCGGTGGGAGTGGGAGAGGTTGCTCCCTGTCGTCCAGCATCATTCCTGCACCATTTCCGCCCTTCCCCTCCTTGGATAGGTAGCTGCCAGAGTTAGAATCCTACTCCTTCCCTATACAGATGGGGCAACTGAGACGCTTCAGGCTGAATTTTAAACCCAGAATCCCGCTTTTCTCTCCCATTCCAGAAGGTCAGAAGAGACGAAACAAGGGGCTGGCAGAGATGACCTCTCTGAATGTTCCTGGACCATTCTGAGCATCTTTCTTCCTCCTCCCCTCATCTCTCTGTTCCTGACTTCCTCATCTCTACCAGATGTCTGCTTTCCTTCTCAACAACCAGGAAGGCTTTCAGAGTCATGCTTGTAAGGTAGAAAGACCTTCAAGATCATCTAACCTAGGCCTGTTTTAATGGAAAGGGGATGGACATTTATTGGGCACCAACTAAGTACCAGGTATTTTCCAATATTTTGTCTTATTTAATCCTTACTTTTGTCTTATGAGGGTGTGCACTGTCCCATTATACAGGCAAAGGAACTGAGGCTCAGAGGGGTTAGATAGATTGACCAGGGCTACAAAGGTAATAACTCAGATTTTGATCTAGGACATCAGGCTGTTTCTCTGGATTTGAATTCCTTCTGCATCATTCCTGACCAAGGATGTTTCAACCTCTTCTTGAATACCTCCAGTGGCATCTCACTACTCCCCAAAGCAGTCCATTTGGCCTCTGACTGTCAGAGATCTCTTTTTCCTCTTGAGCCCAATTTTTGTCCCCATATAACTTTTATCCCTTGGTCCAAGTTCTCCTCTTAGGGAGCCCCAAGCATTGCATTTCCAATTCACCTGCCTCTAGTGGACTAAGTGGTTGTACTCCATACAGGATGGCTGCAACAGGCACGCAGCTAGACGTGTGTTTGGTGTAGGGGTTGAGGGTCTTCTGAAAAGCACAGTATTTCGAGGTCATTCAGTTCTCCCTGCCTCTCCCAGCCACCTGCCTGTTGAGAGTCCAGCACTTTCTTCTCTCTTTACCTCTTTTTGCTTGAGGACAACTGGACTTTCTAATTCTTCCTGCTTCTACTCTGGGGCCAGATGAAGTGTGGTGTATGGATGGACCTCAAAGTATCTGAGTTTCAACTTTCTTAACTGAAGAAGCCCTGAAGCCCTGCTTGGGTATACATAACTAGGAAGTCCTTCTGGTTGGCTTGGGTATTTGCAAAAGGGTGATGGCATTACTGCTGTGCCTTGATAGTGCTTGGGAAGAGAAAGGATGGTGGGACAGAGGGAGCCAGGGACAAATGTCTTCGGGTAGGGGTGGGGAAGTGGGGGTGTTCCTGGGGATGGTGACGGGGGTAAGGGATTAAACACTGAGGGAGCACAGAACTTCAGGAACCATCCATCCCTTCATTTATTTGGACACGTTTATGAGCACCCATATGATGATTTGTTCATAGAAAGTTAGATCGTCAGCAGGGCACTGGGCCTGGCGCACTTTTGCCCTACAACAGGGCACGGAATAGGATGACTTGAAGAGGGCCCTCCCAGTCTGAGGAGCCTCCTGCAAGGTGATGAGGAACAGAGGCAGCCAGCTGGCTGTACAGGTTGTGTCGAATGACCTCATCTTCCCATTCTAGGAGCCAGGGAGCCATGCTCAGACTTAGCCTTCATTTGAAAGGTGAGAACAGCCAGGCACTGGCAAGAAAAGCTCATTAAAAAGCAGTAAGAGAGATTTTAGAGAGACTCTGGAAACAACTTACTCAACAGAGAAGCCGGGGAAGTTCTTGATCTGAGGCTGGGTCGCAGTGGTTATCAGGGCACTCACCACCGCTGGGTGAGCAGGGAGGGCAGTTTCTGACCTGTGATTTTGACTCAGGGACACGTTGGTGCTTTTTCATTTCCCCTGCGTGAAACCTTGTCTGTTCACAAGAACACTTGTGGTGGTACCTGTTTGACAGTGGCTTTGGGGACGGGGTAGGGAAGCCCTACTTTCCAGCATTTGCTGTTTCCATGATGTAAATTCTCCCACCATGGCTGATTTCAAGTTACCAACATGATGTCCATGGTGTGGAGTCGGGAGACAGGTGCCGTACCACACCATTGTAGAGCATTTCCACCATACCCATCCCCTAGAGGTGGATAACTCGAGAGCTGAGACAGTGGTGAACTGCAGTAAAATAATTAGGAAGTGATGAGTTTTGAGCACCTTTCTCCTCTGTTTTAATATAATTTATTTAATTGTAAATTTATATAATTTAACTTTTAATAATGGCTGCATTTAACAACTGGCTTGCAAAATTTAGGCGGGCCATGTCACCAGGCAATCAGGAGGCTGTGTACACAAACGCTGCCTCAAGAGAGGGAATCTCAAGTACAGTCCTGGTTTTTCTCTCTCTCTTTTTCCTTAGAGATGCAAATAGCACGCAGTCACCTGTCTCCGTTCTTCTTCCTAGTTCCGCCTTTTGCGTCTCTCTCCAGTCTTGCTGGAGCTGAATTCTAGTTCCTATGGTCACTGAAAAATAATTTAGAGAATTGACGTGTCCTTGGTAACCATGAGAAACCTAACTTGGCGTCCACAGAATTTCCGTGAATTTGTCTTTTAGGGCATCCGGCCCTGGGAAATCTATTCAAGAGACATTCTGAGTCATTCCTGACTCAGTTTCTTCCGTGATTCTCTTCCCCAGGTTTTAGGAAGTCATCCTCCAGTCATCTTCTCTTAAGCCCCAAATTTGCAAGGCCATGATTGATATGAAATCCCGGTGGATTTTCTTCTTTGTGTTCCTGGTGACGTAACTATTAGCACGCGTGCTGCTCAATTACATTTCAGTTGCTCCAGGACCAGTCAGACTCTGGGGAGGGATTAATTTTTTTTCCTGCCTCACTGGAAAAAAAGGAGATTTGTGAATTACCCAATCCTTGTTTGGGCAGTGGCCTGTCTGGAGGCAGGGAACTGGATGCAAAATTTTAGCTCTGTCCCTTGTGCTTCCCAGGGAGCCTGCTGGTGACAGCCTTGGTGACCCCTGCTCTAGAGTTTATTTGTCCATCCAGCCTGTCTGGAGTAATCATTTCATTTATTCCTGGCGTATGGAAACAAAACCATTCGTCTCCATTTAGTTAGGTTACGAAGGAAGTGCTGAGAAACACGAGACCATGCAGGCGAGGTGGGGATAGGGGCTGCTTTGGGAAATCTGGACGACCTTGGACATGGTCACTGTGCCTTCCGGTGGGGAGTGGACAAGATAGCCTTCTGCCACCCCTCTGCGGCTCTTGCTCTCAGCAGCTTTCTTGGATGTGTTTTAGAAGGACAGGCAGGATGGGACACTGAGTGCTGGGGAGGAGTCTGAAGCCCTTGACAAAGGCAGGAAATGGAGGAGAGGAGGATGGGGCAGAACTGCCGAGCTCATTTTTACAGAGGCTGAGTTTGCAGTGATGGTGGACCCATGTTGAATGTATTGGGTAGAAACGAAGTAAAGGAGAGAGGAAGAAAACTTGTAATAAATATTTGTGAGTTAGTCATATTCACATATGAAAAGGAAAAGACCGCAGTTTTGGGATCAGACAGACCAGAATTCATAGTTATTTCATAAGCTCCCAAAGCCTCAGTTTCTTCATCTATAAAATGGAAGAGTAAAAGGGGTATGATGTGTGAAATGCTTATTACAGAGGCTGGTGCATAGTAGGGGCTCTGTAAATGGTCGATCCCCATGCCCCCAGTCCTCAATATGTAATTTCATCTCCCACAAGACGGCAGGCCTAGAGGCATAGATCCAACCACACAGAGGTGGGGGGTGGAGGCTGAGGCAGTGGGAGGTCCAGAGGGAGGGGGTTGGAGTGAGAAGAATGAAGTCCTGAGATTGAACTTGGAGATGACTCACCATACGGGAGAAGAGGCAAGGAGCCCAGGAAGCAGCAAGTAGAGAAGGAGGAGGAGACCCAGGAGTCCTGGAATCCATGTGCGTGTATTAATATTGACAACAGTCCTCATTAGTAAGAGTGCTACTGCTAATAACAGGAAGCACCTGAAACACAAGCTCGGCAGGGTCCTGGAGTCAGGCCTGGGGACAAGCTGCCAGAATCCTCTGGGCCGCCTCCCTGGACCCAGGTGTGCCTTCCTGTGCCCTTCACATCTGTCTACCTGCTCTCAGCTCCTGGCACTCAGGTGCAAGGTGCTGTCCTCTGGGCCCAGTGCCCACTCTGGTGCCCCCTGGAGCATGGACCTTGACAGCACTTCCCAGGTCTCTACACAGCTCTCCCAAAGCTGAGGAGGAACCCTCCCAGCAGGGGCCACATAGATTTCCTTAGACATTTTTGGGAGAAACAGTTCAGTCTTGGAACTGAGCTCCTTCAGCTACTACAGGACCCACTTCCTGCCTGTCTACTCCTGTCAGTCCCCACAGGCACCCTCTGGTTGGGACCCCTCCCCTTTGTTCTTCTTGGATGCCGCCCACAGCCTTGTGGCCTCTCCCTGCCATGACCCGCCTGAACTTGCTCAGCTCTGTGGCTCTCCAAACACTGGGATTCAGCTCCCAATCCTGGCTCCAGCCCCAGCCCCCACCTGGCCTCAGCCCCTTTGCCAAGGCTGCTTTCCTTGCCTGTGACTCTCGCTCTCTCTTTCTGCCTCACATCCTCTTTTGTAGCCTCCATGGGTTCTTCACAGAGGCAGACTGGCTGTATTCTGTTCTGTTATCTCAGTCTCTGCCCTGCTCCCAGCTAAGGGGACGTGGCGTTTACTTTGTTATCTCCCTGGAAATGTCCTGTTATCCTCCCTTCTCCATCAGACCAGGCTTCCACTGAGGACAGGGCTGTGTCGTCTCCTCTCTCAACATCTGCTCCCTTCTAGAGCTCACAATCTCTCCCTGAGCTAACCTTCCCTATAATTAATGTGATGGAGAAAGATCATACTAAAGACTCCTCCCCTAACTTCTTGTTGTTGTTAATACTGTCAAGTCGATTCCGACTTCTAGCAACCCGGCTTACAGCAGAGCGGAACCCTGCTCCATCTTTTTGAGCCATCCTTTCATCCTCTGGCACTATTTCAGACCGTGTTCCACTGCTATTCACAGGGTTTTCATGGCCAATTTTTTGGAATTGGGTGGCCAGGTCCTTGGTCAACTTGGGGTGGCAACAATAATCAATGCCAATGATAACCAATGATTACTTCAGGGGCATGTGATGGAAAAAGCCACATATATCCCACGAAATCCTTCTCAAAGGTGTGTGTGAAAACTGTCCTCCCTGAGAGGGCCCATCAGCTGATGAGCAGAGTCAGGCAGGACCTGGGAAATATCCCACTGCTGCTCCAGTCCTCCTTGGACCAGGGCAATGGGCCCCACCAGGTTCTACTGGGCAAATCATGGTGCCCCTGTTCCTCTGACTACCAGGCTCTTTAGGAAGCTCTTCCCTGTACAGCATGCAGGCTTCTCATCCACAGTGTATTAAGGACTTAGGAAATGCCATCTTTGTCATCACAGCCATTAAAAAATTGAGCAAAAAGTTCTTGGTCAGGAGCCTAATCTGCTATTATAACATTGTTCCTGTGGGCAAATCCAATTCCTTCTTTTCAATACCCATCAGCCTTTCCAGGAATGTAGCACACAGTCGGAGATAGTGAGGAATGGGGATGGGAATAATCTCCCACCCAGCTCCCCCACCTCTCTATCTATCCATCTAAAATCGATATGCCAACAAAACCCAAATTCATATACCCAGGCCAGACCTCTCTCCTACATTCCATACTCACTTATCTGCTTAGGTGTTTAACAGACATCTCAAACTTAGCATGCCCCAAACACTGCCCCTGATCTTCCGTAAACCTCTTCCACCCACCGTCTCCCCATTGCAGTTGATGGCAACTCCAACCTTCCTTAATTCCTTTCCTTCTCTCCCCCCTCTACCCCCACCACATCCAATCTTTCAGGAAGTCCTGTTGGCTTTACCTTCAAGGAAGATCCAGAATCCGACCCTCCTCTCCTCCTCACTGTTGCCTCCCAGCCACCATCACCTCCTGCCTGGGTTACAGGAACAGTGTCCCAACTAGTCTCCCTTGCCCACCTGCACTTATTCTCAGCAGAGAAGCCAGAGTGATACTTAGATCATTCTTCTGGCCAAAACCCTGAGCTGGCTTCCCATTTTACTCAGAGCCACGGCAAGGTCCTTTCACTGGTCTTGCAGGCCTTGCATGGCACCACAGAGACCTAACCCACTGTCCCTCCACCCCTGGCTCTGTTTTCTCGAGCCACACTGGCTCCTGTTTCTTGAACCCCGTTAGGGTCTTTGCTCTGGCTGATCTCTTTGCCTGGAATGGCTTTCCTCTGGGTTTTCCAGTGGCTCAATCCTTACCTCTTTCAGGTCTTTGCCCAACCCTCTCCCTCTCACTGAGGCCTTATTTAAGATTGCAGTGCCCTTGTGCCTGCACTCCTTATTGTCCTTACCCCCTCTATTTTTTATTTAGTCTATAGCACTTATCCTCTTCTAACATACTATATAATTTATTTGTTATGATTACTACTAATTGACTCCCCCCGCCCCCTTCTCGCACTGTAAGCTCCACGAGAGCAGGGATCTTGGTTTTATTCACTCATGTGCCTAAACGCCAAAGAATTCCAAGCATATAGTAGGCACTCGATAAACATAGCTTCGAAGAATTAAAGAGAATGGGAGGAGACAGACAAACTGCAGCAGGAGGAGGTCACCTCCCACTCCAGGGCCCCTGGGGAGGTGGGAAGTTAGTGAGGAGCAGCCGTCTCCTCATGGGGGCCACGAGGTCCCTAAGAGCCCAGAAGGTTGTCTGAGCCCAGCCAACTGATTATGCTGCCTAGCAGGCGGACATCCAGATATAGAATCTCCCAGCCTGAGACTCTTGGCTTCCTCAGTGGAGGGATGTCTGAAGAACGGTCGCTTACTGTCCTGCATGTCCCCCACCCTCTGCATGAACCACTTAGTTCACAAGCACCATTTGGCGATGTGCTTCCTGGGTGTCAGTGGGTATGAAACCTGACCATTCCAGGAGCTCCCAGCCTCCTTAAGGAGACCATTAACACATTTGGAAAAATGTACAAATGACGTGCATGATTGTTGATTCAGCTTCATGCAAGGCTGGAGAGTTGATGCTATGAGATCACTTGAGAGGAGGCTTCTGGGAGAAGGAGTGCCTGGAGCTGGGCTTTGAAGCTTTGATTGGAGAAGGAGATGGGTCAAGGGGTATATTCTAGGCTGGGAGGTAGGGGAAGAGCCTGGAAAAAGGGGCAAAGTTCATGAGTTTGTCAGGGTCAGGGGACAGACAATAGCTCAGGCCTGTCTGGAATCGAAGGTGTGAGTTGGGGCTGCTAATTGCTGAGTCCTCTCCATCTGAAGGCCTCCCAGGTGGGCCTGCAGGAGAGGGGGAGGTAAATGAGTGTGCCAGCTGGAATGCTCCCAGTAAGGGGTGGGAGTGAGCTTGAGGAGGGTGTTCCCTCCATGCTCCAGGCAGAGACCCTTATTTCTTCCTCTGAAAAATGTCCGATGAAGACTCATCTCTCCCACACTCCAGTTTCTGCTCCATCTTCCAGGAGGCAAAGGAGAACTCGTCTTCTCTTTAGCATAGGGGGCCAGCTGACTCAGTCCTCCAGGAATGTGGCCCTACTCTGATGGCAGCATTGAGACTATGCTGGTCCCCGAGGCCAAGAGCCAACTTGGTGATGGGATGTTTGTGTGTCCTTTAAACTGGGTGGTTGGACAATCTCACAGGGCTGTGTGTGAGGGGGAGGATGTTCACTGGGGTCAGTGATGGCTAGAAGGCCACAGCTTCAAGGGATGGGACACAGCAGACCACCAATACCCTCCTCTGCAGGTCCAAGAACTCCCCCATCCCAGGGCCCTGACTCATGCTGCTTCCCACTCTCTACCCTGCCCTCCCCTCCCTTAGGCAACTCATTGGCCCTTCAGAAGAATATGGGATATTTCTAGCCCAGTGTGGGTACGTAGCCGGATATTCTCTGCTTCAGCCCTGATCTGGTGCTGTGGCTGAGAGCCCTCTGCAGGCAGGTGCTGGTTTCCATCCTGGAAAGTTGCACCCTCCTTACTGTACAGCAAGGCATAATGAACAATCCTATCACCAGCCAGCCTGACCCTGGGCAGCTCCTCTTGACATCCTCACCACAAAAGTATGACTCAGAGAGAGGCCCCATGGCTTCTGACCTGGCTAGTGTGACTTACCTCTGGGGGACAATCACGGCATCATGTCCTTTGGAGTGACTTATGTGCTGTGCTTCTCTATCTGACCATGACACTGTCCCTTTGCTTGGACAGGCTCTCGAGACAGACAGCACTCGGGGCTCCACCTAGACAGTCCACGTGGGACTCTGAATGCTGCAGGAGCGGGCATGAGGTGGGTTGCATTCAGAGCTTGTTGGGGTCTAGGACTGCCCCTCCATGGCCACTGAGGCAGCTCCAGTGCTCCCCACCATTATGACCTTGGGTCCTGAATGTTTTGGGGCTTTCTGGAGCTGGGTTGGCAGGATTCAGGCCAGGCAGCGGAGAAGCTGACCAGGACAGGATGGGCTGGAGTAGTTTGGGCTGAGGGTGCTGTGGGGCCCTCTGGCCTGGAGATCTTTTGCAGGCCCTCCACCCTCAGGATCATATCAAGGGACCTGGAGTGTAAAATCCCACCTGGTTACAGGCACGAGCCAGCTGTCGTCCATGGGAGTGGACTGGGGCAGAGGAAGACATGGCTTTTCTTTCTCAAATCAATTCACATTTCAATTATTAGGTTGCATCATATGAAATTACCTATATTTGACTATTTTTTTACTTATGAAAATGGCCATTTTCATATGATTCAACCCAACACATTGTTCAGTCTCCAAATAAAAGCCCCGTTTCCTGATAATTAAGGGCCAATCAACTCTTGACTTCACCCCAAACTTGCTCTTCTTTCTGTATTTCCAGTTTGGGTAAACAGCACCTCCATCTCCTGGTTACCCAGTTCAGATACCCCAGTGTCATCCCTGACCCCTCCCCATAATGAATACCAAGTCCTGTGTCTTCTAGCTCCTAGATGTTTCTTGAATCTACCCACTTCTCCACCCCCACTCGGTTCCAAGCAATCATCATGTCTTGCCAGGATCACGGCAGTAACTTCATCTTCCTGCCTTCTCTCTCTCCCCATTCAATCCATTCTCCACACAGACACCAGAGTGAGCTTTTAAAAATGCAAGTCTGGGGACCAGGCTGGTGGCGTAGTGGTTAGGTTCTCGGGCTCCGCTTTGGTGGCTCAGGGTTTGCAGGTTTGGATCCCAGGCGTGGACCTGGCACTGATTGTCAGGCCATGCTGTGGTGGCATCCCACATAAAATAGAGGACGATTGGCACAGATGTTACCTCAGCAACAATCTTCCTCAGTCAAAAAGAGGAAGATTGCGGGGCTGGCCTGGTGGCGTAGTGGTTAAGTTCGCACGTTGAGCTTTGGCGGCCCGGGGTTTGCCCGTTCAGATCCTGGGTGCGGACTTATGGCCCACTTGGCAGGCCATGCTGTGGTAGGCGTCCCACGTATAAAGTAGAGGAAGATGGGTACGGATGTTAGCTCAGGGCCAATCCTCCTCAGCAAAAAGAGGAGGATTTGTGGTAGTTGTTAGCTCAGGACTAATCTTCCTCAAAAAAAAAAAAAAAAAAAGCAGCAAGTCTGATCATGTCATTTCCCTTCTTAAAACTTTCAGTGGCCTCCTTTTACATTTAGAATTAAATTTGAAATCTTACCATGTCCTACCAGACCCTGCATGATCTGACCTCTGCCATTCTCTCCTCCGGGAGTCCTCCTTGCTCGTTACCCTCTGGCCATGGGGACCTTCCTTCAGATGTTCATATATGCTGGGATCTTTCCAGAAGGGCTTCCAGTATGCTCATCCTCAGAGGCAGGCCTCCCCACTTTGCTTTGCTGACTCCTCTCCCTGCTGGTCTCAGATGGAACGTCCCTGCTCGGAGAGGCCTTTTGTGTTGCCCGGCACCAGCTATATTTTGCTCCCTCCTTCTTCTTGCTCACGGTTGTTAGTTATTTTCTTCTATAGAGCTCAGCACAATTTGAATTAAACATTTGTGTGTATTTATTTAATGTCTGTCTCTCCCAACTAGATTGCAAGCTTCCTGGGTGTAGGGACCTGTCTATTTTGCTCACAGCTGTGTTCCCAGCATCTCTGGCACGCAGTGGTGCTCATGAGTGATGTGCTGAGCGGTGAATGCTGCAGACAGACAGCTCCGTCCTCCGGGAAATCAGGGGCCGTTGTCCCTAGTTTGATTCCAGACCCACTCTGTTCTGCTGCTTCTGAGCTACAGTGCGAGTTGGGGGATTGCTCTCTGTGATGAGAGGAGGTCTCAGGTCCAGGAGGTGGATGGGGATCATGATAGGAAAAAGTCCAGGGGCAGGGTCCCCACGTTCAGGCCTGTCCTTCACATTCATCCTGATTAATTAAGCTAACAGTTTGTTACATAAAACGTATCCTGTCCCCCTACTTTGACCAACATACCTTTAAAATGACCTGGAAGGCCAGATCTGGATTCAGAAATTTTGGACATTTTGGGGTTTTGTTCCAGAACTTGGTAGCATAGGGAGAACTGGCCCCTCGTCCCAGGACTGAGGCCAGACTCCCTTCTCTTCTCACCCACACTCCAGTCCTCACTGTGAAACACCTTGTGCCCACATGTGTGGACACCCCAGGCTTTGTGTCTAAGCTCCACACTGTCCCCCAAAGCTGCCCCTTAGCTACCTTCAGACCTCAGCCTGCGCATATAGGCAGTTTGGTCCATGTTTGGGAGGATGAACCTAGGAAAAGGGCTTGTATAAGTCCCAGATTCCCATTTGGACAGGGAATTCCAGGATTCTGGATTCCTGGAGTGTGTTCTAGAAGGGGGAGAGTGAGCTCCAGGAGGATGTACCCTTGGCTCTTTCCCGTGGAGGAGAGCCAGAGCAGGCCCTGCAGGACGGGCCCAGGGCAGCAGCCCTCTTGCCTTGGTGGAAGGGTAGTACTATCTGTGCTCATGGCCTCCTGGGGATAACTGGACAGGGAAGGAACTGGTGGACATCTTGCTGCTGTGCTCATCCTTTCTGGACGCAGCATCTAGAAGAATAAACTCTCTGTTAACTGGTGCCTGGAGTTGGCTGAGGCTCTAGCTGGTACTCTGGCTTCCTCCCAGGCGAGTACACGGAAGAGAGCTCTACACCTTCTCCTGACTGCTCAGGTCTTAGGACACCAGGCAAACCAGAGATGGGAGCCTCAGCCCCACCCCTGCATTCCTTGTCTCTCTTCCTGGAGTGGCCAGGCCTGTGGTCAGTCTCTCTTCCATCTGCTTCTCTCACATTCTCATGCTGAGCCATCACTGTGTGTGGGGATGTGGGCTCTGTGTTCAGTGCTCAGGAGGAGTCCAAAGCCTCTGGTGTATATGGGGATTGTTAGGGATTTTCTAGGAATGTTAGGCTGTAAGGTTATTATCAGTGAGGGACAGGAGAGATCCCAGTGTATTTCTGAGCAAGGCTACCAGCTGATTGTCGCTTTGTGGGTAGGTAGGGTGGGAGGTGATGGGTTGTTGGCGTGGCAAGCAGGCCAACAGTGAGTCTGCCAGAGCACTGAGCATCTGCAGTTAAGCTGGCTGAAGGTGGGCGAATGGCAAGTGGGTCAGCCAGTGGACAGTGGAGCAGCCGGCCGAGCTTGGACCTCCTCATTTTTTCTCCAGCTAAGCTGAGTTCAAATGACTTTACCTGACTTTGGAAGACTCCTCAGGGTCTGAGCAGCCCCAGTGAGATGATACAGGCCTGAAGGCCAACAGGGTGGGCTAGAGGGTGGGACTAAGCATGTCAGTGTCTCACTACAGTCATCTCACCCAGGACCCCCCACCCCAGGAGGGTGGCACCAGCCCCAAGTGAGCAGACTGCTATTCCTTTCCTGTACACCTACAGGGGAATCTAAAGACAGCCTACCAGCCTGGGATGTCTTGGTATTCCAGGAACATAGTCAACCAAAACCCTGATGCTGCTCTGGGAAGACCTGCCACAGGAAACCACTATGCCGTACCTTCTTCAGTTCCTACCAACTGAGGCTTTACTCACAGTCAGAGCCTCTGTCCTTTTCACCGCTTCCCCTGGGGACCTGATTGGCCCTCCTTGGGGACAGAGTTCTCACAGGCCAGGAGATACCTTTGATTGCTTGCTGGGGGTTGTATTATCACTGACCCATTGGAAGCATTTGTTGACATGTTGCTTCCCCACTAGACTGTAAGTTCTTTGAGGGCAGGAACTGTGAGCCCACTATTCAGGAATCTCTATATCCCAGTTGGTGCTGGGGCATATGGTAGGTGATGAATAAATGCTCACTGAATGAACAGATAAATGTGTTTCCTGTTCTACAGATTCCTATTCAAACTTCTTTAGGTACTTAATTTTGTTAAACCAACCCCCACTTCTGACAAGGTGTCCTGCAACTCCTCTCCATCCCCCAAAGGGAGGATCCTTGACTCCAGCTAGGCCAATCAAGCTTAGTATGTTTCTTGGGAATTTACATTTCAGTGAGTGACATGGGAACAGAAAACAAAACAGATTTATTCCATGGGGGTCCCTAAGGAAGTTATCCTGAGGCCTGTGTCCCCAAAGCCACCTGGCTTTGTCCTTTCTGAGGCCCAGTTGGTCGGTGTTGTCTTTGGTTCTCTGAGTGCTATAGATTGAATGTTTGCATCCTCCAAAATTCATATGCTGAATCCTAATCCCCAGTGTGATGGTATTTAGAGGTCCTGAGGGTGGAGCCCTCATGAGTGGGATCAGTGCCCTTGTAAAAGAGACCCCAGAGAGCTCCCTTGTCCTTTCCACCATGTAAGGACACAGCAAGAAGACAGCTGTCTAAGAGCCAGGATGCGGGCTCTCACCAGACACTGAATCTTCTGGGGCCTTGATCTTGGACTTCCCAGCCTCTAGAACTGTGAGACCTCAATGTCGGTCATTTATGAGGCGCCTGGACTATGGTCTTCTGTTACAGGAGCCTAAATGGACTAAGACACTGAGCTAACTTTCAGATAGAGTCCTTCTTTCACTTTAGTTAAAACCAGAGTTGGTTTCTGTTGCTTGCATCCAAAGAACTCTAACTGATTCAAGTGTTTTCCCTTTATTCTTAAATATTCTAAAGAACGTGATTTTTAAAATGACTTTATGTTCTAGATTTACTTGTTTAGCTGATTTCCTATTGTTTTGTGCTTTTCTGGCAATAATATTACTACTTCCCATCAATCTCTCCTTTTTTTTTCAGTTGTGATAGATTCCCTGAGCAACATACTGAGAAAAGCGTCAGAAGAAAGGAAACCAGAATAAGTCGTCTTTGTAGGAAGCACAACTTGTTTCTGACACACTAGCCAAATCCTTTCATTGGTCTCTTTTGTTCCACTGTCTATGCATTCATTCTTTCTTTCATTTTTAATTCATTCTTCATGTTGGAAGGGTCTTAAGGATTATCGAGGGTGGGAATGGCAAATAGGTTTCATCTTGGCTTCCCACTTCAATTAATTGGTCAGAATTACTTGAGCATTGTGCCATATGTGGACTCAGTGGCAAAAATGTGTTATCACTAATTATCCACGTCTGAGATGGTGCTGGAAGGTGGAAGTCTGGATATATATACCACATATTTGTCATTTCTGATCGAATGCAACTCCCCACCTAATATGAAAAGTCTCTAGTCTCTAGTATTGCCCTGAGATGGTTTCTGCTTAGGCACATTCATTAAAACGGCTCACTTCATATTTGGATTTCTCCATTTGCTAGAAAGTTCTTCCCTGGTAGTATGGTGGAGGGTAAGGGCCTGGACTGATTTAGATAACCTAAAACTAATTCTGACTCTGCCACTGGTAGATTCTGTAATTCTAGGGAGTAACAATCTCTTTGGGCCTCAGTTTTCCACCTGAGAAATGAAAAACTTGAACTGAGTAACCACAAAGTTTCCTTCCAGCTTAAGATCCTGTTATTCATATGAGTCAATATCTGCCTCACAGTGACATGTTCCTCAGTTAAATAGTCTAGCCTCTGTGAGAGCACTTCAAATATCTGTGGACTTATGCCCCTCTGAGTTTCTTGTTCTAGATTGAACATGACTGGTTTTTTCAGTCATTTCTCTTACGATAAGGTCTCTAGACTTTTCACCATTCTGGTCATTCTCTTCTAGACACTGAGTTTTTCAGTGTCTCCCTGGAAGTGTGGCTCCCAGAACTGGATGCAGGCTGGTCATGCGTGGGAGTATTCTCACTACTTACCCATGGGCTCAGCCTGCCCCTCCTGGCAGATGGGACCCATGTTGAGCAGTGCACAGCGTGAGGGGAGGCACCCATTAAAACTTGCTCAGATCTGGGGATAGCTGTACTGTGCAGTTTGAGAGGCACTCCTTCAGTCTGCATGCAGAAAAGATGCAAGGAGCCCTGGAGTCAAATCTGGAAGGAAATGGTGCTTCCCCCGAAGACCAGTAAGTAACCTAGTACTGAGTAACTGAACAGATGCTACTTCTTCATAAACATGAAAGGAAGATTTGCCAGAGATGTCATTAATGTTTGCAGCATCTTTTTTAAAAAATGAGGCATTGGGTGCTTGTATCTCCATTGATGAAAAATAAATGTCTCGCTAACCCTTCTCTCTTGCTCTGCCCCCTCTCCCTTCTCTCCGACATTATGTCACATGACTCCTTTGTCCTAGCAGCGCTTGTATTTGTTCTTTGCACAGAAGAATAGGTACAAAGGCTTTTGCTCAAGGAAAATAAGATGAAAACAAGAAAAAGCAAAAGCAGATTTGGAGAGGATTCTGGTCTGACCACGAGCCTACTGGAAGTAGTGGTGCAAAGGTTGTCGTGGGAGGAGTCTGACACCCACACAGAAGGGAGCTCTCCTGTCCACCCCAACCCCAGGCAAGGGTGTTCTGAAGACCGCGAGGTCTCACGTGCTCTGGTTTTAAGCCATCACTCTGACCCTTTCCCTTCCACCTCCCACCCCCTCCTGCCACTCAGCCATCCTGGCCTCCACTCTTCATAAACATCAACCGTACTGCCACTCAGGGCTTTTGCATCTCTGGTCTCTGTTTGGAACGCTCTTTGCCCAGTCACTGCATGGCTCATTCTACTTTACTGGGTTCCTGTTCAAGTGTCACCTCATCAGAAGGTGTTCTCTGATTGCCTTATCTAAGATGGACCCCTTCTCCCCAACACATCATTCTTCAGCCTTTTGCTCTGCCTTATCTTTCTTCTTGTTTTTTTTTTTTTTTTTTTAAAGATTGGCACCTGAGCTAACATCTGTTGCCAATCTTCTTTTTGTTTTCTTCTCCCCAAAGACCCCTGAGCACATAGTCGTATATTCTAGTTGCAGATCCCTCTGGTTGTGCTATGTGGGATGCTGCCTCAGCGTGGCTTGATGAGCGGTGCCATGTCCACGCCCGTGCCCAGGATCCGGCCCCAGCCTTATCTTTCTTAATAGAACCTGTCAACATCTGACATATCCTTACTTGCTTATTTGTATCATCTCAAATAAAACTCCATAAAGGAGTTGCTTTGTTCATTACCAATTCCCCAGTTCCTGGAAGTGTACCCAGCACATGCTGGACCCTCAGTCAATATTTGCGCTTGTGTGACTTTTAAAGCCCAATGCTTAACACAAACATTGTTCTCACAGAAGCGTTTGTTTTTTTTACTGGAGAGTTAATTAGTCCACTAGTTCACAGGTGAGTCATTGGGGATGGGAGCATCAATTTATTTGAGTGGTGTAGGTCTGTTCAGAAAGGCTCTGGTGCACCGCACTACAAAACCACTGTCCAAATGAGTTCACTAAGAGTTACCTTGTGAAGGGAGAGTGGGGGTCTCCTCCAATCCAGAACTGCTCTGATCTGAGGTGGGGCCCTGGGGATGAAGGGAAGGAAGGTGGGGAGCGGTGTGCGTGTGTGTTTCTTCCATACAACCACCATGGCTCATTGCTAGATCCTGGGCTTTCCCTTTCACATCATTTTAAGGGACTGAGGCCAGTTTTGCTTGATTCACTGACCAGGCATGGGGAATGTCTCTGGGTGGCAGGTGTGGGCAACACAATCTGCCAGGTTGGGTGGCCATGTGCACTATTCAGGTGAAATTGGGGGAAGGTGATGGGAGAGAAGTGGGTGCAGGAAAGGCATGAGGACTAGCTGAAGCCAGGTGACCAGCAGGGGACCTCTGAGCAGAGCCAGCATCCAGGGAAATTCCAGGACTAGTCAAGTGGAGGAGTGGCCATGTGAATCTAAAGGCCAGTTGTGTTGACCGTTTGTCCAAGGTGAAGTGACTGCCCAGGACTTGGGGAGAAGAGGCAGGATCCTTGGACTGGACTGACATCCTGGGTAGAGTGAAGCTGCCCTGGGAAAATACTTCAAAACCTACCCCTGTTTCTTCAATGCCTCCTTCCTCTCTATTATCAAGGCTTCAGTGAGGCCCCAGAAAAAATCCAATTACACCTGGAAGGGAGTAACCATGAATGTTATCATCTACTAATCTCTAAGTGTAGCTTATCAAGCTTTTTCCAGTGGCAAAAGCCCAGAGCTTTTCTAGACTCACTCAGTGGCAAATTGTATTTTCCAATGATGGTCACAATTATAGCTTCCACCCCACATGCTCTTCTTTTTCTTTTCTATTTTTTTAGTGGGTAACTTTGGTTTATAACGTTATATATCATGCTCTTCTTTCAAAGTGATGTTGACCATCTTCCCATTGAGTAGTGAACTTGAACTTGAGTGGCTCTTCTGCACTTGGATCTGAAAATGAGCGTGGCAGATTCTAGGATCCCTCAGCACCATTTACCTCTGTAATTTTCCTTCTACTTAGCTTCTCCTGCCTCCTTGCTCTCAATCTCAGGCAGAGACACTCATCCTGAGCTGAGCTGCTTTTCTTAAAGTTGTGCAGGAACTTCCTGTTGACTGGGGCAAATCTAATATCTCTTTTCTGGGTCACCCTGCTAGATAGTGAGGAGAGAATCTCAAATCCCACACCCAGCTCCTCCAGGAGGCATGATGATCAGAGAGCATGGTGAATGTGTCAGTTAATAAGGTGTTCCCTGAAAAATGGCACCCATCCCAGCCATGGTATGTTAACAGTTTCTTGATTGTCTCACAGCTGCAGATTACCTTTCAGGGCCACGAACCCAGATGAGCTGAAAGTCCTTTGGGCCAGAAGGAGAAACCCTTGTCCCTCACTTCGCACCTTTACCTGTTTCTAGACCTTTTCCTATGATAATGTCTTGGTGGTCAGGAAGCCTCAGGGTCTCAAACTACAGGGGCTGGGCCTGGAGCTGGAAGTGGGTGATTCAGAGTTTCCCTGTTAGTGCAAATGTCTAAGATCTATTACAGTTTGGGACCCAGGTTGGAGGCAATCCTCTGGGTGCAAGTTGGTTAACACTTGTATTAGTCTGCTAGGGCTGCCGTAACAAGATACCAGAGACCGGGGGCTTAAACAACAGAAATTTATTTTCTCACAGTCCTCGAGGCTGGAAGTCCAAGATCAAGGTGTCGGCAGGCTTGGTTTCTCCTGAGGCCTCTCTCCGTGGCTTGCAGATGGCTGCCTTCTCTCTGTGTCCTCCCATGGCCTTTTCTCTGTGTGTGGGTGCTTCCCTGGTGTCTCTCCCTCTTTTTATAAGGACATCAGTCACATTGGATTAGGCACATCCCAATGCCCTCATTTAACTTTAATTATCTCTTTAAAAGCCCTATCTCCAAACACAGTTATGTTCTCAGGGTTAGGACTTCAACATATGGATTTTGGGGGGCAACTTCAGGCCATAACAGTGCTTCATGAACAGTGGCGGGGGAGTGAATGCCCTGGTTAGCCAATGTCTCTGTGGATCTTGGAGAGCTTCCAGTTGTCCTTGAGGGAATGTTCCGTTAGGCCCATCTTGCTCAGAGCAGAACCAGGTTGTGCAAAGAGAGGAGAGAGAAGGGGAAGGATGTGGAAGGTTGTGCCAGTGTTTTCTGTGTGATGGCTCCCAGGGTGATGGTTTCCCAGGCTCCTCCTGGGAGGCTGGATGGGAATCTCATGGGAGGTACAGGGACCATGGTGGTTTCCAGACACCAGCTATGTCCCAGAGCATCCTGTGCCTGGCCAGGGGGGTTCCTGAAGATCCAGACATCAGTTTATATCCTCCCTCAGGGTAGACCCTACACAAGCGGGTTCTCTGTCTCTGGAGCCACTCTGTCAGCACAGACATTCTTCTTTTTCCCTGGCAAGGAGACCAGAAAGAAGGTTACCCCTCCAATGTTGGGACTCTTAGCATCCTTGGCCTGGCCCAAAGCCTCTGAATCCTAACTGTCCTGGTCCCAGATCACTTCAGGAAAAGGAACATCTCTCTTCGTCTTCTAAGACCCTGGAAAAGGCAATGCTTCAAGAACAGGAAGTTCTTCCTAATGTCTAGCCTTCCTCTGCAACTATGTCATACACTTAGCTATAGAAGGTATAGAAAGTTAGAGCTGGGATGGATCCAGTTAAATGACTGGCAGAAGCCACATGGCAGAGCTGGGGCCAGCCTCCAGACTCCTGGTGTGGAGCCTTTCCACTGTCCCAGGTAGTTGGGTTCTCTCTGTCCCTTCTCAGTGGCCAAAGCTGCTCTTTTCTGAGCCTTGAAGACAGTAAGCTAAGTGAAAGCAGTCAGTCACAAAGGACCACATAGCACATGATTCCATTTATATGAAACCCCCAGAATAGACAATAGAAAGTAGATTAGTGGTTGCCGAGGGCTAGAGGGCAAGGGGGATTAGAGAGTGATGGCTAAGGGGTTTTGGGATAATGAGAATGTTCTAGAATTTATTGTGGTGATGGATACACAACTCTTTGAATATAATAAAATTCATTGAGTTGTACACTTTGGATGAACTGTATGATATGTGAATTATATCTCAATAAAGCTATTAAAACAAAATGCTGCTCTTTTCCTGGCTTCCATCTTCTTACTACAAATCTTAGGGACTGTCTGGGGCAAAGGGCTAGAGCCAATCTCTAGGTGGAGTGCAGCCTCAGCTGCTCCCTCCGTCATCCCTCACCCATGGAAAGAATACACAGGAGCCAGCCATCCAGCCCTGTTTCCATGTGCAGTGGCTGGGCCAGAACTCTTGCCTTCTAGGAAACACCCACCACAATGAGGTTTCCTGCCTCCTTCTCCTTGCTGATCCACTCTTTCCACCCTGGGGCCTGCAAGCCAAGTCAGCCTGGGATGGACAGATCCAGAACCTTGGGTCAGTCGGGGGTTTCTTTCAGGGGCAAAGGCAGGGGCTAAGCTGGATGTAGAGCTCAGACCTGGGCCCAATCTCTGAGTCTCCCCTTCTCTCTTCTCCTTGAGAAGGAGGCCCTGTCAGCTCCTGGCCAGAGAGGTGTTTCTCTCAGGGAGCATTTCCTAGGAGTGGTAGGCAAGAAAGGGTTTGGACTCATCTAGACTTTTACTCAACAAGCTTCTATTAAAACCAACTAGGTGCCCAGTGGTGATCCACCATTTACCTTTAAAGGGTTGAGAATTCAGTAAGAGAGAAAGTACAACGGGTGCTGTGACTGGGGTAAGCAATGAGTATTAAAGGCAAGACACTAACCCAGCCTGGGGGTGGGGGAGAAGGTCAGGAAGGCTTCCTGGAGCAGGCACACCTTGAAGATCATGAAGGAGATAGCCAAATGAAGAAGGGGAGTTGGGGGGGAAACCATGGAAAGTGTGTTCCAGACAGAGAGAATAGAAGGTGCAAATGCTTGTAGATGTATGTAAGAGAATAGTTCATTTGAACTGCAAAAGAAACTTCAAGTAGTTCAGTCTGATTGGAGGCCAAAATATAAGATGGAGAGAGCCAAGAGATGACGTGGGAGAGGTAAGGAGGGCAGACCATCTGAAGCCTAAATAGGAGGAGGTCCAAACCCTGTCCTCCTTCCCAGAGGTCCACCTCCTGCACCTGTAGGACTCCTACCTGAGCAGGGGCCCCAGTACCAGGCAGAAAGGAGACCAGCTAGGAGCAGGAGCAGCGAGACAGGCACCACCACCAGCAGCACATCTTTGTAGGAGGCCCTCCCTGGAGCCGAACATGGAGGGGCTGGGGTCAGAGGTGGACTTGATGCCTCACAATCCCTCAACCCCTGACCCCTGGCCCTTGGCATACCTGCCTCCTGATGGCAGCTTTCCCAGGGGGTGACTGTGGCTGATTCCCAGCTGACAGGATTGGAGACAATGCAGGAATAGGCCACACGCTTGTCTCCTGGTCCCAGCGAAACCCTCAGCACCTGT